CTACTCTAGGGTCTCTGCATATGTGTTATGGTTGTTGGCTTGGTGTTTTGGGAAAACTCCTGACAGTGGGAGTTTGGGTGTCTCTGATTCTTTTGCCTGTTCTTGGGACCCTCTTCCCTCACCCAGCCTTGATGTGAGGATTTGTGTCTAGTCTTACTGTATCTTGTTTTGCTGTGTTCAGTTGATAGGAGGCCTGCTCTTTCTGCAGGGAGATGGAAGATCAGTAGATCTGGAAGAGAGAAGAAGTGTGTGTGTGTGTGTGTGTGTGTGTGTGTGTGTGTGTGTGTGTGTGTGTGTGTGTAGGGGGACTGAAAAGAGTGAACGGAGGGGAAGCTGTGCTCAGGATGTATTGTATGAGAGAATAAATAAAAATTTAAAAATATTTGAAGTTTTCCATTCTGTTAGAACATTGTACTTACAATAATTTCGTTGTATACAAATTGTATGTAAACTTGCTGTTTATATAAGAGTTGCAAATTCTGAGAAAAAATAGAACTAATTTGGGAATGTTAGATTCCCTCCTCTTTGTCTCAGATCTCTACCTCTTTCCCCTTTACAACAGCGGGGATAAGAACACTGGGTTCCTCCACAGAGCTCACATATATTGGGAACATGTAGTATTTAATAATTTTAAAAATATATTTTTGTGCCGGGCTGTGGTGGCGCACGCCTTTAATCCCAGCACTCGGGAGGCAGAGCCAGGCGGATCGCTGTGAGTTCGAGGCCAGCCTGGGCTACCAAGTGAGTTCCAGGAAAGGCGCAAAGCTACACAGAGAAACCCTGTCTCGAAAAACCAAAAAAAAAAAATATATATATATATATATTTTTGTATGTGTTTGCCTGCATGTATGTATGTACACTATGTGTGTATCTCGTATCCTCAGAGGCCAGAGAGGATGTCCAGCACCCTAGAACTGGACTTACAGATGTCTGCAAGCCATCACATAGGCACTGAGAACTGAATCTGGGTCCTCTGCAAGAGAAAAAAAGTACTGTTCACTATGGAACCATCTCTCTGGTCCCACATGATCTAATCTTGATCTCTCCTGCTCTTCTGATGAAGGGAAATGATAAAGAACCCTAACAGACATGTTTAGTTTTAGAGAGGTGAACATTTTTGTTAGTTAGATTATGTTTAGTATAGAAAATGAGATGTGAGAAAAAATAAATAACTTACCTTTTTTCTTTTCTTTTTTTTCCATTTTTTTTAAAAGCTGGTTACTTTGTAGAATACCGGGGCTAGTGTGACTCCCCTGCCCCCAGCAGGATTCCACGAAACAGTTGTTATTATTATCCCATCATCACACAAGGGAACTAAACATTAAAATAAACAACAACTGGAAACTAAACAACCTGCCCGTGATTTACGACTTGACAGGAAAAAGGAAGGATTGTTAACCAGGCTGTTGACCCGTAGAGAAACAAGATTACACACTGTATTTCATGTTGGTTTTAGGCTGGTTCTACTGTGGAAAGTGAGAAAGCTGTGGAAGAAAGATTAGAAATTTGTGATTGGGGATGTGAATATAAAGAGAATACAAACCAACCTACTTCCGGGGAAAATTCACATTTTCTCTTCAAGCTATGAAGCTATGAAGTTTCAAAAAATGTTATACTCTCCAAAGCAGTAGTTCTCAACCTATGGGTCGAGACCCTTTTGGGGGTTGCATATCTGATATCCTGCAAATCAAATATTTACATCATGATTCACATCAGTAGCAAAATTATAGTTATGAAGTAGCAACAAAATAATTTTATGGTTGGGGGGGTCACTACAACATGAGGAGCTGTATTAAAGGGCCACAGCATTAGGAAGGTTGAGAACAAGAACCCTGCATTGAAGTGTTGACAGGAGAATTCAATAGATAAACATACCTGTAGATGTGAGAAAAGAAGCAAGAAACAGCTCTCACCTCAGTGGGAGTAAGGGACAACATATCTGTTGGAACCAGATATGAGTGACCATGGCCCAGGAACACAGATTCAAGCTATCACAAATTCCAAGCTCCAACATGGCAGCAGTTTCTTGTAGTGTTATATTAGCAGAACAATAATAACAAAAAGCACACATCAACATGCTTTTCAGACACATTGGTAGAAACCTCAGGTAAGTTATTTACAGTCAATCAGGGGGATCTCTGTAATAGATCTTGGATACTCTGTGGCAGCATTCTTTAAGTTGGTGGAAAAGGTTTTATTTGTTAGTCACAGGATGGTAGGTCAGACACAGAGAAGGCCAAGGAGTATAATGATAGTCAGGAGATAAACTGTAGCTGGGCTGTGGGCGTGCAACATTCCAATTTCTCCACAGACACTGAAGTTCTAATCAGTTAGCCTGATAGAAAACTGAAGGCTAGGTTAGATGTCTTAGTTAAGAGTTTCTCACGCTGTGATGAAACACCAACACCATGACCAAAAGCAACATGGGAAGGAAATGGTTTATTTTGTTCACAGTTCCATAGAACAGTTTATCATCAACAGCAGTGAGGGCAGGAACTCAAACAGGGCAGGAACCTGGAAGTAGGAGCTGATGGAGGAGTGCTCCTTACTGGCTTGCTTAGCCTGTTTTCTTATACAATTCAGGACTACGAGCCTAGGGGTAGCCCCACAAGCACTGGGCCCTCCCCCACGAAGCATCAATTAACAAAATGCCCTACAGACTTGTGGATAGCCCAGTCTTAAGGAGACTTTTCCTTGATTGAGTCTCCCCCTCTCTGATGATTCTCTCTTGTGTCAAGTTGACATAAATTATGCAGCACAAATGACCTCTTGTCAACTTGACACACAAACACATCACCATTAAGCCATAATCCTTCCTTTCTCATTCATCCTGAAGATCTCACATTGAAAACATAAATAACTTTAAAAATCCGGTCTTTACAAATTCAAACACATCAAAAGTGCAATCTCTTCAGAATAGCCAATCTCTCTAAAAATCCAAACTCTTTTAAAAAAAAAGTTCTAAGTCTTTCAGCTGTGAGCTGCTGTAAAAATACTTAAATACTTTCTTCAAGAGGAAAGAACCAGGACGCAGTCACAATCTGACCAAAGCAAAACAAAACCCCTAATAGTGTAAATTTCTCAATGTCCAGTTATGTGGGCTTCACTCATTATCTGCTGGACTCCTAAAAAGGGTATGGGTCCCTTCTCCAGCTTTGCCCTCTGTATCACACACAGCTTGTCTTCTAGGTCGTGGCTGGCTCCTCTCCACTGCTGCTGCTGTTCTTGGGGATCATCCCATGGTAGTGGCATCTCCAAATTGCTGGGGTCTTCTGCTGTTACTGGGCTGTGCTTTTACCACTAATCTATCCTGGGCTCTCTTGAGGGACCCCAGCCATGCTACACAGTACCAAGCCTCAGCTTCTTTCCATGACCTCTTTCATAGCTTCAAAACCAGCACCACCTGGGTGACACTTAACACTGCCAGCACAAGGGACAACCTTGGCCATGTCTGGAACACAGCTTCTGTGTACTGACTCCCAGGAAAACACTTACCAGAAGATCTCACCTCAGTGATGCTGGTCCCTGCTTAATCACTTCTAATCTCTCAGCTCCAGCTGACCTGCCCTGAGTATTCCAGCAAAGCAAGATTTCTCTTTAGTAGTTCTGGTATCTCCTTAATCACAGCTGATGCTTCAGCCCCAGTGCCCCAGTGCCCCAGTGCCCCAGAATCTTAATTCAAAATAACAAATGGCCCTGATAGAGTCTTTAAACTTCTCTGAGGCTTCACAAGCCAGGCTTCCATTGTCTGCATCGCCCTCAACATTCTTATCTTCCAAGCTCCTACAGAACAGCCCACTGAGATCTCAAGAGTCAATGGCTTTTCTATTCCAAAGTTACAAAGTCCTCCCACAATCCTCTCCGAGGGCAGGTCTCTCACAGCAATACCCTACTATCCTGGTACCAGCTATCTTAGTTAGGGTTTCCATTGTTGTGATGAAACACCATGGCGAAAAGCAATGTGGGGAGGAAAGGACTTATTTCGCTCATATTTCCAAAGGACAGTTCATCATCAAAAGCAGTTAGAGCAGGAACTGAATTAGAGCAGGAACCTAGAGGCAGGAGCTGATACAGAAGCCATGGAAGAGTGCTGCTTTCTGGCTTGCTTCCCATAGCTTACTCAGCCTGCCTTCCTACAGAAACCAGGATCACCAACCAGGGATGGCACTGACCACAATGGGCTTCCCCCATGAATCACTAATTAAGAAAATGCCCTACAGGCTTGCCTACAGCCAGATCTTATGGAGACATTTTCTTGATGAGGATCCCTCCTCTCTGATAGCTATGTTATGTCGAGTTGATAAACTATCCAGCACTTTAGACTTATTTACAGAGACCTGCCTTCTCAAGTCTAGATGGGGGAGAAACTCGTGAAAACAGGAAGGATGATGTCCTTCCGACTATTACCCCGAGTCTCCGCTATTTCGGAGGCTAGTCTTTTTGGAAACACATTCTTCACCAACACTGGACTCTGTAATACATTCGTCATCCACTAACTTCTGTTCCTTGAATGTGATGTCCTCGGGTTCTCAGCTATCAGGATTCGAAAAACACACCAGAATTCTCATCGGACTGGACTTCCTAGTCCTGTTACAGGCTGTGAAAAGGTGCGTTTCATAAAACAAATGACACCTGCGCTTGCGACTTTTTCCAGGAAGATACGCTAATCTACTTAGTAGTTGCTGTCCAGACATTTCTTTCGTTCTTTTTGTCTTCGTCTGCTTTCCGCCACGGGTCGTTACAAACCTGGTCAATAACCATCGAGGGAGGATCTGAGTTAATCTCTGGGGTCAGAGATCTTTCAGGCTGTTGAACCTTAGGGTAGAACAGGGGCCGGGCATGACCTAGTACCTGGCAGCGCCGCCGATTGGCGGAAGAGAAGGTTGTTCCTTCGAGGCTGCCGCTGATTGGCTGCAGGAGGGAAGACTTGTGACGTACTTTAAAGTTGAGCAAACACCTCCTCCTCGCCCCCCGCCCCCCAAGCCAATTAAAAAAATTTTTTTTTTTTTTTTTTTTTTGCAGGGAAATTAGAGACCTTAGGATCCAGACTCAGGATCTCTGGGCTGCGCGGGACTATTCAGAACCCATAAGGTGAGAAGGGAGCCCGGAGGGCGACGCAGATGCAGGCGCGATCCCAGCCTGCAGGATGCACTTGGAGCTCCCAGCTCAACCGCGGGACTCCAGCTGTTGGCCCGGAGGTCGGCCTCAGTCCCGGAGCGGCACGGGGACGCCTAGGGCCCCGCTGTGAAAGAGCTAGGGAGGGGGACAAGCTTTAGGCCTCTCCGCCCAACCTTCTTGAAGGGAGGAAGGGCGGTGGGTTGAGCTCCTCGGCTTCTGAATAGGAAGGGGGAGGGGGGCGAAGCACTTTGCCGGGGATGGGCGCTGGTGGTTGTGGCGCCGTTGCTCGGGAATATGGGTTGATGTTGGAATTACAGTTTGCAGAGCGGATAACTTATTTATTCTTGGACTGAAAGTTTCTTTGCCGGCGGTGGCTGATGGAGGGAGCAAGGTTCTCCCTGAATCCCCCGCCCCCACCCTTGGCTCAGCGGAACTGTGACACCGAACTTCCCATGCCTAGCTTCAGGTTTAGGGCTGGTCACTCTGTCGGAGCTAGAGACCTAGCTGAGTCAGTCTGTACTCTTAATTGTCATAGGCATGAGAGAGAAAGTTGAGCAAGTTGGGTTTCTGGTCTCTAAAACTCTCGGTAGATACCCTGGGCAGCTGGGCAGGCCAGGCCAATGCTGAAGGAGAAGGCTCTTTGGACACACTTTGTTAAGGACTCTGCCTGGTTGAATGAAGAGGGAGGGAGGGAGGAAGGGGGAGAAGGAGGAGGAAGAGGAGGATGAGCAGGAGGAGGAGGAGGAGGAGGAGGAGGGAGAAACGGTGATGATGAATAAATGAATTCATTCCTAAATCAGTAGAGACTGACGTTTCTTGGATATTATGGGTCATGAATTGTGAGAATGTGAGCAATATGTAGCTGGGACCAGCGTTATGAGGCTCTGCACACCGCACTGAATGGTCAGTGATGTACACGGAGTCCTTCCAACTCTTTGTACAAAACACAGATGGCATGGTGTGTGTGTGTGTGTGTGTGTGTGTGTGTGTGTGTGTGTGTGTGTGTGTATTTTGCCACTTCACTCCTCCCTGCCATGAAGGTGAGCGGACCTAAGGCTGCATAAACTTGTTGGCTGTGTAACCTGGTTGTTATTCTGCAGTGTCTTAGGAAGACAGAGATTGAGTTTGTTTATTGGAGGTATTTTCCCAAGGTTCTAGAAAACCATATTTCTTATCACAACTACTGTATTCATTGAATCTAAGGTGTCTTCAATTTAAGATGCATCCCTACTTTAGAGATGCTAAAAATGTGAAAAACTGTCTTAAACTTGTTGAAATAGAGTTAAAATGGTAATGAATTTTACATGTTCACCTGTGTCTAAAGAGTGGCATTCAAGACAGGCTCTTTCAGTTTGGGTTCTATTTTTTTTCTTTCTGAGAAGCATAATTTACCACAGTGTGGCAAACAGCAAGGGCAAGTAGTGTCTTCTACTAGGGGTGTGGCTATGCTCCCATTGGAGGCATCAGCGGGCTTGGACCTTTTTCCTGTCTTCACATTCGTTGTTTAGAGCATATGAGACTGGCTCAGGTTGCTAGTGAACGTTCACAACAGCCTTGAGGGTTAGTTGGATTTTGTAGATGATTCACAGACAAGTAAGGTGTGAATCAGGTTCATAGAGTAAATTCAGGTGCTGGGACCATTTCAAGGAGGTGAGCCTGAACTCCTTGGCATCTGTCTCCTGTTGGAAACATTGGCTTCTGGTTAGGGGTTAGGGGTTAGGGTGGTTAATGATACACTGTTGGAGGCTTAGGTGGGTGCCCAGCCTTCCTCTGTGTTGTCTTAGTGGTTTGTTTTTCTGTGTAGTGCACTTCAGCTGGATATGGACAGGCTGATTTATATTCTAAAACTCCAATACGCCTGTAGTCCACATTGCCCACTCTCTACTGAGCTTAATGGAATCGGAATAATATTCCTAAAGGGACTTTTTCTTTTCTTTTTAAAAAACTATGTTTAAACCTTATTTAATCCCCCCCCCCGTGTGTGTGTGTGTGTGTGTGTGTGTGTGTGTGTGTGTGTGTGTGTGTGTCTGGGGTGGGGAAGATGCATCGACAATCTAGTTCTTATTTATCTATCATGCATGCTCTGCTGCATAGGTTTTTGTGATGAGTTCTTAAAATTTCTCATTTATTTTAAGATAAATAATTTAAAATTTTTACCTGGCTTGCAAAAATTATAAAGCCACTATGTGTGTGTGTGTGTGTGTGTGTGTGTGTGTGTGTGTGTGTTGTGTGTATCATGTGCTGTTTTGATAACATGCATATATCATATACTATTTGAATCAGGATAAATATATCATCATCTCAAACATTTGGGATTTCTTTACTAAGAATACTGTCAAATTCTCTTCTAGGTTTTCAAAATACATAGTACATTAGTATTAGAGTTGTCTAATTGTGAAATAAATTTATTCTTTTTTTAAAAAAAATGTTTGAGGTTTTTTGATGTGTCAGTTGCTTGGAATACAGAAGGGAATAAATCCTACTTCCTACCCTGGAGTACAACATGAATGCAGCAGATAACCATTTTGGTTTGCACTGCAGTTCAGAACTTTGTTTTGCATTTCACTGAGTCTCAATCTGTGAGCTAAAAGAGTCAGGTTTTTCTGTCATTGCATGACAGCAGCCGAGGGGTTGAGACAATATGAATATTCTAAGACCAGATAAATTAACAGGAAGAGACTTCAAAGTCTCCCTGTAGTTACTTTTGTTGCTGTGACAAAAACAAAAATGTCCGATAAAGCAATTTGAAGGGAAAGAGAGTTTTCTTGGCTCACCTTATAGGGATGAAATTCATGATGGAGGGAAGACATGAGAGTGTGAGTGTGAGGTTGCTGATCTCGTGTGGTCCAGAGTCAAGACGTAGAAAGAGATGAACACTGGTGCTCAGGCTGCCCCTCTTTCCTTTTTCTCAGCCCAGAATCCTACCCTGTGGGATGGCACCACCTACATTCAGGAAGGGTCTGCCCTCCATTAAACCTCTCTGGAGATGCCTCACAGACACACACAGAGGTGTGTCTCCTAGGGCGTTCTAAATCTAGTCAAGTTGACAATGAAGATTAACCGTCACAGTCCAGGTGATTTTAAGTTTTATTTTTTTTATTTTTATTTTATGTTCTTTAACCATTTGGCTAGCACTTTTATAATAGGTTCAACATGGAAGCATTCGAGAAATGTACTGGGGAAGAGGAAGTGAAAATCTGGGGCCGTGCCTTTGCAATTCCAGGCTTGGTTCCAACAAGCCTTGGAGTTGGGAGGGATTTGGCTTAGTTAGAACTAAGCCATTGTTAGATTCTCTGTTGACACTGGAACTCTTGAAATTCCCAGGAACACTATGGTCTGGGAAATGGGTAAGAAGCATAGGTATGGAGCCACTATGTTACTTTACATATACTAGGAAGATATGGTATATGGAAATATACCAGTATGTATTATTTTGTTTTAAAATACTAATGTATGTGCCTGGAGAAATGGCACAGAGATTAAAAACACTTGGCTGTTTTTGCAGAGAACTGAAGTTCTGTATCTAGCTCCCATGTCATGCAGTCCATAAATACCTGGAGCTGCACTCCAAGGACTTGGATGTCCTCTTCTGGATTCAGTGGCTATACTAACACCCCCAACACATGTGCATGCACACACACACCCACACAAATAAATCTTTAAAAAAGTACCAAGTATATTTTGAAATATGTCTGCAATTTTTTGAACGAACTAAAAAGACAAATATAGACACTTTGCATTTCTTATATGTTATGTTATTTCTTCATCTGGGGTCTATGCTAACCCTTTCCTACTCTCTTAATATTTAATCCAGATGTATATCTGATTGCTGCAAATAACTTGGCATTGAAAAACTTCTTCATGTGATTGAGTAGTTTCAGTCACTGGATTATGGGGAGTAGGATTGTTGTAAAGATTTCAAACAAATGGTCCCTAAGACATGCCTGAGTATAGAGTCCAGAGATGGAACATTTGGTCTTAATTTCTCCAATAGTGAATGTACTTTTCTAAGCATATTCATGTCCCGGTGGAAGTGGGAGAAGTTAAGGGAAACCATGCTTAGGTCTTTCTTTATGTTTTGTGATTTTTATGCTGGCCTCGTGCCGTGGTTCTCAACCATCCTAACATTGCAACCCTTTAATACAGTTCCTCATGTGGTGGTCACAACCATAAAATTATTTTCGTTGCTACTTTGTAACTGCAATTTTGCTTCTTTTATGAATTGTGATGTAAATATCTGATATGGAAGATGTCTGATATGTGGCCCCAAAGGGGGTCTAGTGATTCCTAAGTTTAAAAAGTGTTTTTTCATGAGTAGTTGTTATACAAAGGTTGGAGGAACTTGAAGGAATTTTTGATATTTACTAGAAGAATTAAAATATCTGTGAAAGGCCTGGAGAGATGGCCCGTTTGGTAAATTACTTGCTATGCAAATGTGAAAACCTGAAAAAGAGCCGCTGGAGATGCTGTTACAAAGCAAGTTCTATTGCTATGGAGTGTTCTGTTGTTAGCAATATGTCTCTGTGATACTCTGGTGATGGTTAGAGGCACTTTAAGTTCCCAATGAATCCTATGTGAGTAGGAATATACCTTAGAGCTATTCTTTTTTTTTCACAAAGGCACAGAGAAGAATGCTTTTAAACTTACATTTTTGTATCTGAAATGTTGATCTTCAATGTGTTGGAGGGAAAAAGATTAGACTTTTCAGAGTAAAGGTCTTCCCTTACCCCTTGATTATGTGACACCCCCCTTTCTCTTTTCTTCCTCTTCCTTGTGTCTCCCCAGCTCTTTCCTCTTCTGTTCTCTTCACAGCCTCCTCACTCACACTGCCTCCTCTTATCAGCACTCAGTCATGTCAGCTGATTTCACTAGAGTCGATGGGTAAGCCAGAATCATTCCACCTTGTCTGAAAATAAACATGGCATTTGCTTCCTGATACTTTTGCAGAAAGCATGACGTCCTGGACCAGGCAGTACAGAGCAACTCTCCCAGTCATTGCTGGGAATACCTCCTCCTGTCAGTGCCGTTCTGAAGTCCCCACCGATGCTAACTCCCCTCCTTTCCCTGGTGCTGGGGGTGGAACCTACTTTCAAGCTAGGCACATGCTCTTCCTTTGAGCTCCATCCTCAGTCCATTTCCCAGTTCTTGATGACCTTAGGTGACCGGGAAGCTCTGTGCTGAGACCAGATTTCAAAGTTCACCAGCTTACAAGTGACCGGTAATAGCTCCTATAATCTCAGCCCCTTTTGTTCCCCCAAACACCCAGAGGTCTAGAATTTACCTTGGCAGGGACTCAGGAAAGACTTTCAGTCAACAGAGGAATAGAGGTCAAGAGGTGAGCACTGATAACTGACTAAAGTTGGATGCCAGATTTCTTTTTGAAGTCAGAGCTGGTGAGAGTAGCAGTGTGTCAAACCTCCTTGTCTAGCACAATCCCTGGCCTCTGGCAAATCAGAGAAAAGCACAGGTTTTCAGCTTCATCCTAGGAATTCTGCTTCTGCTCAAGTGAACCACCCAGTCGGACTCCAGTGTCCTATTGTTCGTCTTCGAGGAAGGAACAATAATACTCTCTACGTTAGATTTTTTGCAAGAAAGAAATGAGTTAGTATCTGTGAAGGGTGCAGCATAGTGCTAGGTTTATAGTTTTTAATCAATGGTAACTATTATTTTATTTTAAAATGTGAATTACAAGAATCTAATAATTTTAGAATTCCTTACAAAAAGTCAATGTAGCTTCCTTAAGAGGATCCTAGTTTCTGATGATTTTGTCTTCTATTTCCCTTAGACTGTATGGCTTTGCATGATATGTGTGTCCCCTGCTGTCTCCAAGCCCACACCCACCCCAGAAAAGGAGAGGATGTCACTGAATTTGGGAAGGTGACTTTGGTTAATCATCAAACTTGAGCTGGGACTTGGAAGAAGGGACACTAACTAATGGGAACATATGCACGTGCCTTCATTTAGGGCCCTAAAGGGAAACTCATAATATGGTCACCTATGAATTCAGAAAGTGCAGTGTGTGTGCGTATGTGTGTTCATGTTCAAAGGAAACACTGTCTTTGGAGTTGGTATTTAGGAACAAAGATGTTCAGGTTCATGAGACATTGTATGTGGTCCTTTGATTGGGGGACAGTAAATGTTATAGACTTGGGCTTAAATTTAATGTAGTTTTTTGAGTAACCAAATTATATAAATAAGCAAAAAATGCATGTAGTGTTAGTAGTAATACTTCACTGAATATTAAGCACTGGTATGTTCACCTGTATGATATGTGTAATGTTGTTCAACTGTGCCTTTCTTGGCTCTTGGTAAGTTTAGCATGTGGAGATAGGGTCCCACAAAACTTATTGGCCATGAAAGCTGCCCCGAGTTATTGACATTCAGTTTCTTGTGTTTTGATTTCAGAGAATGAAATGCATACCACAGAAGATGAGTTTTAGACAGAAGGTTCATTATAGTTCACAGGTGGGAGCTTAAGAGTGATGGAGAGAGCTCTGTTTCTGTACAGCAAGAACAGGCCCAGGAAATAGCATACTACTCTAGCTGCTACTCTGGGAGCTTTTACAGGACTTGGCAGACTTGGGTGAGGCATGGGGAAGGGGAGGGGCTTGTCATTCCAGTTGGGTTACCCACAGATAGTTCAGGAACTTGTCTCAATTCCTCTCATCCTGTAAAGAGTCTCTTCTGGAAGTTTTGGTCTTCAGCAAGAACATTCTCAGCACTACTATTTTGGGGACCCTACCTACCTTACCAGTTTCTACCTCTTGTTCTCATCATGCAGTTCATCCCTGCCAAAGGCTCGACTGGTACCCTGCTGAATTTCTGGTACCTGGCATGTTTTCTGCTGTGTCCAGCTGACTCTTCCTGGATGTCTTCCTTGCTTTCTCCTCTGGTTCTGTTATGAAGTGCTCTCTACATTTATAGATAGCAAGTATTTGTGTTTGGTCACTGTCCCCATCTGTGAGAAAGGTATTCCTTAGAGCTTGAATTCCAACTGTAATGTGTTACTTCATAACATAAAAAGGCTTACTATGTGCTGTCTGTAATGAGTAAGAAATTTCTAGAACTATGAAGTCATGGATAGGATTATTTTTTTGAGAATATATAATCCCTATAATTTACTGCCAACCTTACATAGGAAAACAATAGCATCTGAATTAAACTTATCAGCAATATTTGGTTTCAAGGTGTATACAAACATTTGAAAAGGATAAAGTAAATACTTTTAGATCTAGATATTTGTATGGAAAAGCCTATATAAAACTTATTTGTATGAGGCACAGAATATTTATTTTGTAAATATGATTGTTCTGACTAAATGAGTGGAATTGTGCATACTTGACTAGCAGCAAGAGAACTGGTTGAGACCAGCAGGGTAGAGGGCTGAGTGTGAGAAGAAGGAAGCCTTGTTGATCTGTGAGAGGGAAGCCAGAATCTGTGGTGAAGGAATCCATGCCATTGAGTGGTTGGTTTTAACTTACAGTAGTTGAGGGAACAGTATTTTTGTTAAATTCAGCCTAGAAAAATGATCATGAAGTGTTTTGTTTTGTTTCCTTTTTTTGAGACAGGGTCTGGCTGTGAAGCCCTGACTCGCTTTGAATCCATGGCAACCCTCTTGCTTCAGCCTCCTGAATACTGGGATTATAGGCATGTGCCACCAAAATCGGCTATTGTGTGGTATCAAGGTTTATACATGTTTCCTTTTTATTTCTGTACATCTTATTGCAGACATTAAAAACAAAAAACAAAACAAAACAAAAACACTCACTTTCGGCCACTAGGGGGCAGAGCACACTGAGTGACTCCTATTCAGTAAACTTAGGGAGAAATATAAGGAGGAGCGTTGAAAATGCTTGTATACCGTTATAGGAATTTCAATTTATAGCATCAAACTAGGGACCAGTTTGTAAATACTGATATCTGTTATCTCTTTCTCTTTCTATACTTGACTAACACGTTTAAGCTTTTGTCCTAAAAACATATTTAATAAAACATTTAAGAAGTTACATTGACCTATCTTTGGAGGCTTTAGTTTGGTTAGTTAAAGGCACATTTTCTGCCAGAGATTTGTCCTGCCCACGTCTACCAAGCCGGTTGGTTCTCTTTTGCAACAGATTTCTGAGGAGACCAGAACTCATCTGTGAGCCCCCCCGCTCTTTTCTGTGCTGTTGTTGAAACTTGCCTTTACAGCTACCAGACTTGAAGATGTTACGAGTGCAGAGGCCAAGACTGGCCAGGCTGAGAGCCTGCCTCTCCAGAGGTCTCCACCACAAGCCAGTGATGGCTCTCCGGAGAGAGGATGTGAATGCCTGGGAGCGCAGGGCACCTCTGGCTCCCAAGCACATCAAGGGCATCACCAAACTGGGATACAAGGTCTTGATACAGCCTTCCAATCGACGGGCCATTCACGACAAGGTGACTACCTTCAACTTTGGAAATGTCTGTGAACACAACAGTGGTAATCCAGAAGCATCTGAAAAGAAACCAAGTGTGCTCCTTTCACTTTAATTCCATTACTTTGCTAAAAGTATTGTTTTCACTCCATTCCACATGTTCTCCCCCTGAGGGTTTAAAGGTCTGCTTTCAGAAGTTTCCGAGTCTCTCAGTCATTCTCTCCTTCAGGTGCAGCCCTACTTTTGGGAATAGAAAGGCAAAGACTAAGTTGCCATTCTTGTACCCAGGAATGCTCCTTCAGGCACAGCTTATTCTTCATGAGGTTGTACCTCAGCAGTCATGTTGATAGTCCTTTACATCCATCTTTCTGTTTACTTTTTGAAATAATCATAGCAGAAGTTATATTCTCATTCCAGTTTTAGGAATAGGTATGTACTTTTCCTTTCCTGGATCATTTGAAAGTAGGTTGCCGATATTCTAACACATTAGCATTTAGTGCTTTTCTGGGCATCTCCTAGACAGTGCTTTCTAACAGAGCCACTGTATTATTTTCGCACAAGAACACAATCAGTGCTTTTTTGGTTTCGTTTGTTTTAGACCGGTCCTCATGTAGCCAAGATTATCTTTTAATTTTCTGTGTAGCTGTGAATGATCTTGAATTTCTGACCCTTGTTCCTCTACTTCCCAAGTGCTGGGATGGCAGATATTTAGGCAGGCTGCCCTGCTTCTCATATGGTCTGTGTTCAAATTCCCCACTGGCTCAGTTGAGGCTTACCTAAGCTTCCTATAGGCTATTGTTCTGTATCTTTAGTTGTGATCTGGGGCATCTCCTCCTTTTCTGATTTTATTTTAATGACATTGATTCCTTTTTGAAGAGTCTAGGAAGCTGACCTGTTGCATGTTCTGCTTCTGAATAGAACTAGTCTGATTGTATCCTTAGGATTAGATTTAGGCTAGACATTTGGGGCATAAATGTCAGTCACATATCATCTTCCCATAGTACCAAATCAAAGGCTCAAGATACCAAGATGCCCCACCATCAGCAATATGTGATCATTGGTTGAGGTGGTTCCCAGATGATCTCTCCAGTGTGGAAATGTATCTCTACCTTTGTCATTACTGTACGCTATCCGTATATAATACACATACAGTTTTTCTTTTCCTTGTGACAGGGGTCTCCTGTAGTTCAGACTAACCCGGAACTTACTAGATAGCCAATGATGACCTTGAACATCTGTTCCTCCTGTCTCCATTTGTGATCAAAGTATAATCTGTTCTTAAATATGAGTGAATAGTGGATTTTCCAAATTTTTTCCTATAAAAGCCAAGCAGGATAGATAATATCTTTATTGAGGAAACTACATTGTTATTTGTACTAAACCCCATCCTTCACCAAACCCCATCCTTCTGAAGGTTGTTGTAGTTTTGTACTTTTCATCAGAGAAAGTCATGACCACTACAATCTGCAAGAGTAAACTTTGGTCCAAATTTCATCCCTAGGAGTATGCCAGGGCTGGCGGCATTCTTCAGGAGGACATCACAGAAGCTTGTCTAATTTTGGGAGTAAAAAGGCCTCCAGAGGAAAAACTGATGTCCAAGAAGACTTATGCCTTCTTTTCCCACACAATAAAGGCCCAGGAAGCCAATATGAGTTTGCTGGATGAGATTCTGAAACAGGTAATTGTGACCAGTATTCATGAGCAGTAATGAGGCATTGAACGGTATGTCTGTCACTTACTTCAGTAGGAGATGTGGTCTATATCAGGGTGCCCAATGAAGAGCTGTCCTTGACTGTACAGGTTTGGAGTATACATAAAACAATGCATCTCATTATCTTATATATTCTGAAAAGGAAGGGTAAAAGTTTGTCCCCTGCCCCCACAAGCAATTACTAATTTATAAGGTCAAGCATGTAAATACCACCATGTAGAATTCCAGAGCTGGAACTAACAGCTTGTTTTTCACGTGGAGCTCAGAGAGGTACAGGAGCTTGACCGAGGTTATACAGCTCTATGGCACAAGAACAGGACAAGAAATGCTTTCACATTCATTGCTAGTCATAAGAGATGAAGTATATTTTGAGGTTTAAACACTGTGAAAACATTAGTAGCTCCTTAAAATGGGACTGCCCACTGAATGAAAACAGTTTTGAGTGCCTCCAATGTGTCTGAAACAATTCATCAGCATGAAAATGCAAAATAGCCATTACCCTTGTGTTTCTGGTGCCACATTCAGTGGGAGGAGATAGAGATAAGCAAAGAAGGCAGCCTATGTCACCAGGAAATACTTGGTAGAAGAGATATGGTACTGAAGGAGAAAGGGACATGGACACCAAAAGGGGGCAGTGCAACTGTCGATAAGGCCTCATTCCAAAAGTGGCATTTGGGAAGATATTTAAAGGAAACAAAGGACTAAGCCATGTCTGATGGTGATGAGTCTTCCAGGTAGACAAGCACATAAAGAAAAAGAACCAAGGGTCTTTGTGAGTGGGTGGGTAGAGTGGGTCGTGTGCTAGTGTGTTTAGTCTTCCTATTGTGTGGATGATGGTTGGAGTTGGGAGGAGGAAAGCAACACTAATCAGATGACTTAGTCTAGGGGCAGTCAGACTATAGGCAATAGATGAGGGTGGCTGGCTCCTGGGTGGTAGAGTAGATGTTCTGATGTTTGGGGAACCCTAATTGCATTGTAGAGGTGAGTCCTACAAAATTCCCTGATTAACGGAAGGTGGGATTTGAGGAAAGAAGTCAGCAGTGATTAGGGCATGGGCTTGAGCAACTGATAAGAGCCACTATAGATTGAGAAAGTGTTTATATGAGGTCAGCAAGCTGGGATGCCCAAGTTGTATATGAAGAGGGCAAGCCAGGATGGCCACGTTGCATATGAGGAAAGCAAGCCAGGATGGCCATGTATATGAGGAGGGCAAGCTAGGATGGCCATGTTGGTAGCAGAGGGGTTTAGCTTGTTGGATATCTACATTTTGACAGTTGTCAGAGAAGCTGATAGTATGTTGGAAATGAGTCTGTAGCCTAGGAGAGCAGCTTTTCCTGACCAGCACTATCAGAGACCAGGCGGTGTATATAGTTGGGAGGTTGGATGAGTGTGGGAGTGAGTGGAGATACAGATCACAGCCAAGGCCTGTGGCCTGCAGTAAGGATGACAGAACATTTGATATAGAATCTGAGAATGGAACAGGGGTTGTGTTTACCAACAATACAAACAATGGAGGAAATGGATTTTATATGGGGCGATAGGATATGTTCCTGTTAATTTCAAAACCACTTTAAAGCAAATAAACTCTTTTATGGAGAACTTCAGAGACATTTTGCTATATGTACCTTTGGTCCTCATCAAAAAAATCAATAAAAACAGACCCAGCAGGATGGCTTTTGGGCAGCACACTAACAAGTCATTCAGAGTTGGATATACATTAAATATCATTACATTTAAATTGTTTTCCCTGGTACTTGGGTTACAACCCATGACCTTGCACATGGTAAGTAAGTACTCTGTGTTCTACTTAGCAGTGTACCCCAGGCCCCTAACTCCTATTATGTTTGAAGAGATAAAAGTATTGTATAATTATAACATAGCTTTTAAGAATACATTAATGGGGCTTTCCTGAGAGAGGGAAGGTCTTTGAAGAAAGAGAAAGAATTTGTGTTTGCCAAAGATGAAGAAAAGAAATGTAAAAGTGGAAAGAGAAGGGAGATAAAGAAGGAATAAAATGGAGAGGAGAGAGAGGGAAAGAGAGTGTTGGGCTTTTTGTTACTATTTTTTAGGTAAAAAGAGGTATTTAAAAATGACTGAGGAGCAATGTACAGGAAGAATATATATGCAAGAAAGAGGTAATAGTTCAAGAAGATTGACTGGGAAGGACTCAGAATGAACCAGAATTTGCTCACACACAGGGATTCATCTTAGGAAGGATGTATTTTCTTTGGAACCAGAAGATTGACGATAAGTAGGGACATAGGTGTATTTCAAATGGTCTTGGGCAGGTTGGGAACGTGATAACTTAAAGGAAACCTTTGCCTCCATTATTTCCTTTCCTCACTTCAAAGGATATTTAACACTCAGTTCATTCCTTTAGCTCTAATTACAGCTGGTTTGTGACCAAGCGTTTTCAAAGCATTTAATGGTGCACCTGCTGATAATGGGTTAGTAAGTCAACATGCATTTTCTAAGAGAGAAAAAAATATAAAATTTTTACTTCTTTATGTGTGACTTACTCGCTGAATTTGCCTGGTTGCAACAGTTTCTTCTTTCCCTTTCTTCAGGAAATCCGACTCATTGATTATGAGAAAATGGTGGATCACCGAGGGTCTCGGATAGTGGCATTTGGACAATGGGCAGGTGTGGCAGGTAGGTATGACAGAGCTCTGTGTAGCTTTCTAAGTGTGTCTCAGCAGTGCAAGTGTGCTTTTCTCTTTCCTATGTTTACTGGTAAAACAAAAAAAGAAAAAAAGGAAGCAGGCAAAAGGTTAATACCTAGGAATAGATTCTAGCTTTTTAGATGATCCTGTTGGAGAAACAAAGTTATGTTTGTAATGGTATATCATAAGTAGAAAATCGGGGGAGGGGGATCTTCTTGACCAAGTGAGGGGTGAGCCCTGTTGACTACTGTTCCAGGCCATTTGGAACTTACCCAGGTGAGTGTTCTCTGTAGAGAAAATGAAGACATCAGAAATGAGCTGATTGATTCAGAAGTAACACCATGCCTGTGAATAGGATGTGGCTTTTGTTTAAACAATGATGGAGGCAAGATAACACACAAGTATAGTGACAATGATACTTGTTAGAAGAAGGGTACTGAGCTGGAAATAGCTGTGGGGAGGGTTGTCCTTGAGCTAGCACATCTGAAGCTGAGACTTGATGGATGATTGAAACCTATTTAAGCAAGTAAGGAGGAGGGAAGGTTAGGCATGTGTAAAGCTCTGCTATCAATACAATTGAAAAAAATCTAACTAGATGAAGAAAAAAGGGAGCTGGCACTGTACAGAGAGAGGAAATACAAGAGAGAGCATAGTCATATCCTCTACAAACATTGAAAGAACAACAAAAAAAATGTACTAAGGCTAGTGAGCTTGATGAACTCATGAATTAGACAAACCTTTAAAAGATACAAGTGGCTGAAACCACTGCAAGAAAAGATTGACTTTTACAGTATTAAGTAAATTCTACTCATTAGAAAAGAAAAACATTTCATGAAACAAATTTATTGTGATAGACTAGCACCCAGAAGCTTGAGGCAGGAGAATTGTCATGAATATGAAGCCAGTGTGGCCTACATAGCGAGACTCAAAAAGAATTTTACTTTAATTTAAAATATTTAATTTTTTGTGAATTTCATTCGTGAGTACTGTATTTATATCATTTCCACCTCTCCCTCTTTTTCCAACCCCTTCTACGTTCCCCACACTCCCTCTCAAATCTATGACCTCTTCTTAAATTTTTTTTTTTTTTTTTTTTTTTTTTGGTTTTTCGAGACAGGGTTTCTCTGTGTAGCTTTGCGCCTTTCCTGGAACTCGCTTTGGAGACCAGGCTGGCCTCGAACTCACAGAGATCCGCCTGGCTCTGCCTCCCGAGTGCTGGGATTAAAGGCGTGCGCCACCACCGCCCGGCTCTCTTCTTAAATTATTATCACATACACACACACACACACACACACACACACACACACACACACACACACACACACACACCCTGCTGAGTCAGTTTAGTGTTGCTTGTATGTACATGCATTTCGGGTTGACCACTTGGGATTGGGTGACCTATCTGGGAGTTCGTTCCTGGAGAAAACCTATTCCTCTTCTCTCAGCAGCCATTGGTTCCCTGTGGTTTCTCATCAAGGGGTGGATCTTATAAAAATTTTCTCATAACGTTGGCATATCAACTGGTGCATGTCACTGTGCAGGTCTTGTTTAATCAACCATATGGTTGATACTTGATAAATACAGCTTTCCTGCCATGTCTAGAAGACACTATTTAGCAGCAGACGGCCTGCCCAGCCCTGCTGGTTCTTCCACAATTTTTCTTGAGTCTTAGATGTAGGGTTACACTGTAGATGTATCAATCAAAGCTCAGTCACTCATTTTCTGTATTTTGGCCAATTGTGGATCTCCATAATAATCTCTTATCTGCTGAAAAAAAAAGCTTTTTTGATGAGGATTGAGAGGTACTATTAGTGAGGATAGTTAAAAGTATTTAGAACATAGTTAGAAATTGTATTGGTTTTAGAAAATGTCAGTAGTAAGGTCTTTTCTAAGGTCTCTAAACTGTTCAGCCATGGGTAGTTGGAGAGTTTTACAGTTTCAGGCATACATTCCCTCCTATTGAGCAGGCCTTAAGCTCAATTAGACAGCTGTTGGTTATTCTTAATATAAAAGTGAACTATTGCACCATTGGGAATATATTGCTGGGCCAGTCATTGCTGTGGTTTGCAGACTTTACAGCTGGGTAGGACTAGTGATTGCTTTTCTCCCTTGGAAGCTTGCATGGCACCTTCCTGTACTATCAGAGCTAGTCCTCAGGGAAGAGCCCTCCAGGCTAGTTCCAGCTTGATTCCTTCAAGTCCTGTGTCTGAAGTACATGGTGTCTTCAGCAACAGAGTCTTACCTTCAAGTTCTGGCTTGCAACCAAGGGCAGTGGCAATAGCCCATACTGTTTTGGGTACTGGGGTTCTTGTTAGATAGGAAATGAGGGAAGCATTATTACCCCCACGTATCACTCCATTTAAACTAGACACATATTGTATATGTGTGATGCAACGTAACATATTGTGTGTATGTGCCACAAAAATAATTTTTTTACAGAAATTTGTAATAGTCTGGAAACAATACAAATGTCAGTTAAAAAAGAAATGGATAAATGGATGATGGTATAACCATAAAATGTGAAACTGCAGCAACAAAAGTCAGAAGTATTGATGTAAATCTAAAAAATATGCTAGTTGAAATGAAACAAAGAACAGAATATGTGCTTACAACTTCATTTACATAAAACCAAAGCATCTAATTTATACAAACAGCAGCAATAATTCCCATCTTGGATCTGTAATACATGGGTGTAACTATATGTTAATAGTTACTGAACTATACATTTTGAATTGTATTTTACTTCATACAAACATTTTATTTTTAAAAGTTGACTTCAACAAAAAGATAAAAGAAATCTGGGTAGAGTTGTGTGTGTGGCAGAGGTGTTGGGAAAGGCATGGAAGATTGTAGTCCTATAAACAAAGGGAGAATAGATAATGAGGTCATTGCTATAGGCATGCTGAGTTTTAGATGTCTGAAGACACCCCACTTAAGGCATAGAAAAGATGATTGGCAACATCCTGAAATCAAAAGAAAAATCCCTACTGGAAGTACAGACTTGGGGATCATCCACATATAAAAAATACTTAAATTTAGGATGTGATGAGATTACCTAAGGGGAAATGAAGATATGAAGAAAATGGAGCCCCAAAGAGAATTCTGAGGGTGCTAATATAATACACACAGAGAGGTGCTTAAAGAAAGTAAGATTAATTCTGGCCATGGGTATGGCTGTACCTTTTAGAAATCCTAGCACTTCAGGCTGAGATGGGAGACTCTGGAATTTGAGGCTGGCCTGAGCTACATAGTGAGTTCAAGAGTAGCCTGGGCTACATAGTGAGATAGGAAGGGAAGGATGAAGGAAGGATACATTCAAGTCAGAGATACTGAGGGGCCTAGAGTGTCAATCCAAGAGATAGTCTACACTGCCCAAGAATAATTCTGACAAGTAAATAAGGATTTGAAAATTCCATCCAGTTTAGTGATGTAGGCCACTAAATATCTGTTAGGATCCCTAGGCCAACGGTGACTTTGTTTTTGTTTGTTTGCTTGCTTTTGGTAAGGGAGGTGGGAGTATGTTAGAATACTGATAAGAATGATCCTACAGAGAAAAACTATGAGGGAGCTATTCAAGGATAAATTTCTTTCTGTGGAGGGCCAGGACAGTTTGAGACCTGCAGACAGGAGGAGAAATTAGCCTTTGATGAGAGGAGGGATGTTCTTCCTTTTTATCAGGGCCAGGATTAGAAAAAAAACAGGTGAGGATGTAGATGGGTGAGTGTATTTGATAGTAGAAACTGGAGGACAGAGACAAGATGTCTTGAGGTTCCTTCTGAATCTGAAATACTATCATCTTTGCTTCCTTAGGGTACCCAGCAGGTTTAAAATGGACAAAGGGAAAAGTGTATCATTCCTTCTCGTAAATGCCTATGAACAGAATTTATTTTGTGCATTGTTAGTCAACTCCACTCAATTAATGGTATTTTTATTGATCTGGTTCTGTGACAGGAATGATCAATATTTTACATGGAATGGGTTTAAGGCTCCTTGCTTTGGGACATCATACACCTTTTATGGTGAGAGATTTTATTTATTTATTGGAAACACGTCACATTTTCAGCCTAGAAACGCATTTGAGCTAGTGGACTGACGTGGATTGTGTGTGCTTGCTTCCAGCATCTTGGCATGGCTCACAACTACAGGAACAGCAGCCAGGCTGTGCAGGCTGTCCGAGACGCAGGCTATGAAATATCCCTGGGTTTGATGCCAAAGTCAATAGGACCCTTAACATTTGTATTCACGGGGACTGGCAACGTATCAAAGGTAGCTCCACCTGTCCTCTCTGCCAAGCAATCTGAAATGCTGAACATTTCATGGGCATTTCAAACAGAACGAATGACCATTCAGTTTGGAGTATTTTTGTTGTTGTCATTTTTACTGTAGCAAAGAAAAGTAATAGCCCAAGCATTTTCTTTGCTTTTAGCTGATGTCATCTATTAGAGCAGTGGTTCTCAATCTGTGGGTCATGACCCCTTTGGGAGTTGGACAACCTTTTCACAGAGTTCACATATCAGATATCTTGTATTTCAGATATTTATATTACAATTCATAACAGCAAAAATACAGTTGTGAAGTAGCAATGAAAATAATTTTATGTTTGGGGGTCACCACAACATGAGGAACTGTATTAATGGGTGGCAGCATTAGGAAGGTTGAGAACCACTGCATTAGAAGTTTGAAGTGCCCCTTTATCCTTACATCTTCCTTCCCTCCCTCCATTCCTCCCTCCTCTGCCTTTGATAACTCCTTGTTAATGATATAAAGCACTAACTTTCGGGTGATGGGTGGTTTATTCATTAACTGCTTGGAATCTTGCTAGTAACTAAGTGTCTTAGGGCTTTTACTTCTGTGACAATAAGGCATTTTCTGAATTAGTGTTGATGGGGTTGGGGGCAGTCCATTGTGTTCCCAATCTGGGCTGGTGGTCCTGAGTTCTATGAGAAAGCAAGCTGAGCAAGCCAGGGGAAGCAAGTTAAGCAAGAAAGGGTTTACTTGGCTTACCCTTCCATATCGCTGTTCATCATCAGAGAAAATCAGACAGGAACTCAAACAGGGCAGGAACTTGGTGCAGGAGCTGATGCAGAGGCCATGGAGGAGTGCTGCTTATGACTGGCTTCCCCTGGCTTGCTCAGCTGCTTTCTTATAGAACCCAGGGCCAGGGATGACCCCACCCATAATGGACTGCCCCACCATCAATTGCTAATGAAGAAAATGCCTTACAGCCAGGTCTTAATGAGGCATCAACCCAATTGAGGTTTCCTCCTCTCGGATAACTCGAGTTGTATGTCAGGTTGACATAAGACCAGCCAGAACACTAAGGAAGATAAAGACTGGGATTAATGGTTCTTTCTGGAGTGGTGTTGAGGCTGCATTTGTAATCTCCTGGAGAAACCTGTAGTTGAAAAATAGGTCTGTAGTGCAGAAGTTTTACAAATAGAACCTCTATTAGTGCTAAACTGTAAAGCATGCATCTGATCTTTTCCTTCTGTGGTAGGCAGTTTTCCCACTTAAAATAATTTCTATAGTGAATCAAAAAGTAAATAGGCACTTGTATTAGGTCCACATTTCTAAATTCATCTTGCTATCCTGATGAACCAGTTAAAATGCCAGTCCCCTTCTAATGCAAGTGAAGTCAGAGCTGGCTTGTAAGCTACCAGCATGACACCCCTTTTGTACTTCTATGTTGTGATCCTGGTTATAGGTCAGGGCAAGGGGAACGACACAATTGTGAATCCTTGCAGGAAATCTGTTGGCCATGTTTCTACTGAGGTTTGATTCTTTTTCTCATGCACTATTTACAGGGAGCCCAAGAAGTCTTTAATGAGTTACCTTGTGAGTATGTGGAGCCCCATGAATTAAAAGAAGTTTCAAAAACTGGAGGTAAGCAGCACAGGAGGACCATCTCTTTTACTGTCTTTAATAGTCTTTGTGTTAATATTTTATCACCGTAAATCATTATCATTTGTCACTTTACTAATTTCTTCTTTCTTTATAAGACCACAGGAAAGTGTATGGGACGGTGTTAAGTCGCCATCATCATCTTGTCAGGAAAACAGATGGTGTGTATGATCCTGTAGAATATGAGAAATATCCCGAGCGCTACAAAAGTCGCTTTAATACAGATGTGAGTATCTGGCTTTGATTTGGTTGCTATGACACACCATAGCGAAGCTGTTTTCTGAGAGGGAAATTGTGAATGTGTACCTTGATTCTTCAGGTTCTTGTGTAGATTTACTGTGAGTCCTTTGGTTCTAAAGTGTTGGATTTAGTAGTTGGCTCCTACTGATACTTGGGATTGAGGTGGTCTTTGCTTAGTAGTTTTGGTGGCTTCTGTGGGCACGTTCATGGCTTCACAGTCTCTCTCTATTTCACAATGCATGTGCTCATTAGTTCTAAGCCAGTTTCTGCAGATCCTTGTTTTTATGTTAGCCTATACTAGTTAGCACTATTGACAAAAATGCAATGTCTCTGAGGCTTGATCTAAACATAAATGAGTTCTAACTTTTTAAAAAATTGTTCTTGTTTTTTCAGTATTAGGGAATGAAACTAGTGTACTCACATCTCAGCAAGTGCTCTACCACTGAGCAACATTTCCGAAGGGTTATTCTTCCTGTTGCCAAAAATTGTAACCATAACATCAGCTCGCATCTTAGTTGACTTTAAAGTAAAATACCTGAGGCTTGAAGAAATAAGATTATTAGTTTATCATTTTGGAGGCTTGAAGTACAAAGCATGGTTCAGATTCTTTCACAGATTCCCATTGACTACATCACATCATGGTAGGAGGTCATGTGTATCTCTATCCATGTAGTCTCTTGCCTCTTCTAATTAAACCATGAAGATTCATCATGGATACTCCATTCTTTTTAATCTATTTTAATCACTTTTCAAAGGCCCCACCTCTTAATACCATGGTTGCACGGAGCTTCTACTCTCTAAATACCATTAACATAAGACTTTGCTGATTAATCTTTGCATGAGTTCAAGGGACAACTATATTTCAATCATAGTATTATGTCCCTGGTCCCATAAAACTTATGTCCTCACATTTATCCCCAGTAGTTCCAAAGTCTTAACTCAAATTAACTTCAAATTCCAGAGTCTCACTTGGAACTCAAGTCAAACATCTTTGGCTGCAGAGCCATATAAAATAGAAACCAAGCTGGATATTTCTAAGATACCATAGCAGGTTAGCCTCATGGTACACATTCCATTCCAAAAGGTAGGAATAGATAAGAAGAAAGGAATAATCTGCCCAAGGCAAAATCTCAGGAGTCAGCCTGCCCCTCTTGTTGCCAGGGGCAGTGGCACAGTGAGACTCGTATCGCTGTTGGTGCCGTGTGCTGCCAATGAGCACAGTGTTCTTCATCAGGGTCTTGGTGCAGGCCAGTTTGCTATTGGATGCATTGGATACAACATCAATGATTCTTGTTTTTTCAGTACAACACTCAGAGCCCCAGGAAAAGTTCCCCATATCCAGTCTTAGGGCATGGTACTTTTAACTGCCTCCTTGAACTCAGACTGTGTGTATATGACAAGGGCCAATCTTAGTATGGCAACAGGATGTCCCAGCTCATGCTTTTGCTTTTAGGGGTAGAGCTTTCTCTTACTCACTGTTTTGTGGCGCTTGTGCCCGTTGTCCCAAGAGATGCCTATTGCGTGGCGCGGGCTGGAAAGAGGCGTCACTTCTTTTTTAGTTTCATATATTTTGCTTCGTTCTCCCTTTCCTTCCACCAACCCCTCCATGTACTGTAATTTGATCAAATTCATGGCCTCTTTTTCATACCTGTCTCTCTCTATATATACATATGTGGTATATTTATATGTGTGTATATAAATGTGTATATATATGCATATATACATATATAAATTATAATGTGTGTATGAGCCTAAATATGTAAATACAACCTGCTCAGTCTGTCCAGTATTACTTGTATGTATGATTTCTGAGCTGTCCATTCTGCGAGACAAAGGGCCATAGGCAATAAGGAATACTATATTAAGAGTGGGAGGTAGTCTTCCTAAGGATGAGGCCCTAATTGGTTTTCTGCCCCTAATTTTATCCTGAACCCTAAGTATTAGTGATTAGATGTGGATGTGTACTGAAATTGACAGTGACCCACTTGCCACATGTGTATGTACATATGTAAGTGTAAGCAGTTCCCCAGAGAGGTTATCTGATTAACCCTCAGAGCATTCTTTTGAGGACTGCTGCCCCCATCTGGCAGGTAAGAGCAATAGTGTTCAGAGGAGTTGAGTATGATTAATGTTATATTCTATAGTATTTGAACTGGAAATAGAGTTCTGGGTCACTTGATTCTTTGCCATTTTATTTTTCCTAGCTGTTCAATGTCTTACGGAATAAAATATGAATGCATTTATTAGATTGATATCTTATCGTGGAGTAATTCTACAATGGATGGTGGGTGACTATTATCTTTTCCTCAGAAGATGGTGGGTGACCTGGACAACAAAATGTTCCACAGAAGCACCACTGATGATCTGCCATGGACTTTGCTCTAATCAGTGTTCTTTCAGTACATGGTATTAAAATAAGCCATATCCTGTTTTGTTGAATATGAAACTTGCTTCACAGATTGCACCCTATACAACTTGTTTAATTAATGGAATCTACTGGGAGCAAAACACCCCTCGCCTGCTAACTCGCCAGGATGCTCAGAGTCTCCTGGCCCCAGTGAAGCCTTCAGGCGTTCCTATTGAAGGGTGCCCTGAATTACCACACAAGTAAGGACTATGTGTCATCAGAAATGAAGTTTTGTTGTTGTTTTGTTTTGTTTTGCTGCATCACCATTATTAGGGGACCAAAGAACACAGTGTTCCCGCACGCCAGAGATGTAGTGACAGTCTGACCTGACCTCCTGGAAGCATTTTACAGTTACCCATCCCCCCAAGACTGACTTTTGACTCATTTGGTTCCAAAGCGCACTCCTCAAAAAATCTCTTTAATTGTTCTCATTCCTCTCTAGTTTGTTACTTTGTTTTGAGAAACTCAAAATCATCTGTTTTCCTGTGTTTATGGTTGTTCTTTCTCCTACTGGAATTTATTCTCCCCAAAAATAGGGACTGAGTGTTTTTGTCTTGACCTTAAGTACTTGGTGTAAAATAGACATTTAATTAGTTCTTAAATATTGAATGAGTTAGTTAATAAATATTTGTGAAACATCTTATGTACCAGGGATTCTGCTAAGCTAAAGTTCAGAGAAGCGTAGTTGGGCTGTTTGCAGCTCTGAAGCAAATGCCAAGAAAATACTAGGAACAACAAACAGTGTAACAGGAGATTAGATGAAGTAGGCACATTGGTAACAGAACACAATGGTTGGATCATTTGTGAGCACAAAGCTGATAAGCACAGCTCTGTAATGATAGTGAAGCAAATTCTATTGCTTGTAGTAAGTAAGGAGAGCACTTGGGATGATTTCCAAAGGGGTGTCTTCCTCAGTAAGGAAAGCAAGGGACGTTTGTTGGGGAAACTCCTATGATATTTGCATAGGGATCACTCCTCATGACTTGTAGAGGTGGGCACACTCCTGGATATGCTCAGTTCAAAGCAATGCTTTTCTATGCATTGCATATTTGGAAAATGAGGAGTGGGAACCCCTCTTGGCAGAGTATTTACTATTGCAACATCAAACTTTATCTCTCTTAAAAGTATGGGTCAGAGTGTGCTACTGTTTTTGTTCCTGTGAGTTTCTTTGAAGGGCCCCTTAGACACAAAAACAAATTTGAAGGCTTCCTTCCCTTCTTTTTTTTTTCATGGAAAATAAAGAACCCTGTGTCTTAGAACAACCCAGTGTTCTGAAGACTGAACTGTAGGAGAAAGATTCTAAGTGCCCGGAAAATATCTGACATCTACAATGCAATTTGTTTCAAGCACATTTTATTTTTATTCATTGTTAGTCTTCCTGAAGGCCTGAGAATTCCACCCTCTCATGTGAGTGTTGATGTTATTTTCAGACTTGTGGCAATATGTGACATTTCAGCAGACACAGGAGGGTCTATAGACTTTATGACCGAGTGTACTACAATAGAGAGACCCTTTTGCATGTATGATGCAGATCAGCATATTATTCACGACAGGTGAGTTTGTCAAAGCTGCTGCTGCCTTATCTTGATGTGCTAGTTTAAAGTACTCAACATTTCAGTTCTTTAGGAAGGTGTGAAAATTTGTAGGTACATGCTCAAACACAGTAAAAGAAATGGAAAAAACACATTGAAATTTTAATGCTTAAATACATATATGCTATATTTAAATGGGAGATGGGTTGCCAAGTAAAGTAAAGGATTTGTTTGAAAAGCAGTCTTATTTATAGTGACATGCTTTGTTTTTCAAGACTACAAATAACAATGAAACAAATGTTGTAATGGGGTAAAGGCTGAGAAAATTTACAATGTTCAAGTAATATTTTGTGCATTTGAATAAAGCGTTTTGCTTCTCCTAGTGTTGAAGGCTCCGGAATTCTGATGTGTTCCATTGACAATTTGCCAGCACAGCTTCCAATTGAGGCTACAGAATACTTTGGAGACATGCTTTACCCTTATGTTGAAGAAATGGTAAGGGGAATGGTAGCCTCCATGGCAACTCTGTGACCTTAAGTAGAAATATGGAGTGAGCTTATGAATGTTCTGGTCTCCTGTATCTAAGAAATCTGTTGTAAAATGAAATGCCAGTCTTTGCCCAAATGTACTTACAGGTCTATTTTATTCTACATAATCTGTTACTTGTCTCATGAGGACTGTGATTATATTGCTGACTTCATGCTTACAATCACAGTTATACATTCATCTCATTATATACATTTTATTTAGGGTGTTTATGTTATGGAGTGGGGTAAAATTACTTTATCCTCAATTCCCTTTCTATCTAGACTAATTTATATTGGGGCATTTTTATTGTGCTACAATTAACAGATCTGAACAATCAGAAGTATGGAAAACATTACTGAATGCCAGCCACTAGTGTTTTGTTCCGTGACAGCTTATGGTGAGATGGTGTTTTTCTCCTGCGATTGATTCTGAAATGCTGTGTAATCTAGATTCCATCCCCGTTACCAAAGAAACTCTCCTGTCAGTGTTTATCTTGGGTCCAGATTTGCCATGCTTTATTTCTTGCTGGTAACAGTTGACCTCTGGCAGAGATTCCAAACTCTGAACAGCAGCTCTTTGTCTTCATTCCCCACTTCTCTCCCACTGTGAAATGGAAGCAAAATGTCTAGTCTGAAGTTGTCTTCTATGAGTAACCAATGGGTTAACAATCTGATATAAGAGGATGAATGCATTAGGAAATACTACGGAAAGATATTTATTTGTTGATGCGTTTGTATGTGTGCATGTGCATACAGCAGTATGCTCATACCATGATGTGCCTGTGGAGGTCAGAGGACAATTTAAGGGAGATGTTTCTCACTGTCTATCATGTGAGTACATGCCAATGCAGTGCTAAGTCTGCAGTGTGTCTGAAGTTGGCTCTGCAGGGAAGTAGTGGCATTAGGACAGTACTAATGGCAAGTGGGACTGGACATCAGCTAGATTTTCGACTCAGGTGTGACTCAGATATCTCATTTCTAAAATTAGGTGGTTGTATTGTTGCTGGATCCTAAGGAATGGCTCCCTTGGGGAAAGGGGTGAGAAGGTATGGCATCAACTGCACAGATACCAGGAGTCAGTTGAAGGCAAACAACAAACTCATTTATTTAATAAGGGGGAAGGCTTTATATACCCTCATCCCAGCACCCAGTCTGTGTTGTTTGTAATCTGCTGGTATTGCATAGTCATCCCTCATTGGCTGGACGTGATCAGGAACTCTGACAGCACCTGTTGCTAGGCCCTCAGGCAGACTCCACACTATCAGGAACTCTGACAGCTCCTGTTGCTAGGCCCTCAGGCAGACTCCAAGTTGACTCATAAGGAATATGGTATGTGCATGCCTTGGCTGAGCCAATTTCCTCTACCCTATGGGTCTGTCTTACTATAGTTGTAGTATATAATCTTAATGGCTTCCCAAGTTTTAACATTCTAGAGATATAAATGTCTCAGTGCCTGTATGGCATGTGTCTTGGGAAACAATGAATAGTAAATGTCCCCAGCTGTATTTTATATTCATTTTCCCTTGTCATTGTTTCTCTGATGACTAGATTTCTTTTTAAAAGAAATATTTATTATCATTATCATTAATTGTATGTATGTATGTATGCTTGGATATGTGTGTGTGCAGAATTCAGAAGAATACTTCAGATCTGTAAATGCCTTTGTAGTTTCTGTCCTGGTAGGAAGGCTGGCTATGTACTTTTTAATTTCAGATGTTACAGTCCTAGAATTGACTTTTGGGGGAAGAGTGGTTGTTATTTGGGTTTTGTTTTTGTTTTTGTTTTTTTGTTTTTTGGTAGTTTTCTTTTTCCCTGCTGAGAATCTCCATGCTTTCTTCTTCATCATAATCATTATCATCATCATCATCATCATCATCGTCATCATCAATTTTTTAGAGACAGAGTTTCTCTGTGTGGCCCTGGCTTTCCTGGAAGTTGCTCTGTAGACCAGGCTGGCCTCAAACTCATGGGTCTGCCTTCCTCTGCCTCCCAAGTGCTGGGATTAAAGGTGTGCACCACCACCACTGCCCACCTCCATGCTTTCAATATTATGAGTATATTTTTCTTTGTCATATGGAGAGCATAGTTAAAAAGCCATTCTGTGATCTTTATGTTAGTTTCTCTTATCTTCAAGGAACACATCTGAGACCCCCCACCTCAATTAATGTCTGAAACTGTGTGGTATTACAGCCTACATATATATCTTCTCTATACTCGCATAATTGTGACAAAGTTTAATTTATAAACTGGGTGCAATATTATGAAAGAGACAATGATAAAATTTATATAAAAATCTTGTAAAATTTATGTCAATGTAGTCTCTCACTCTCAAAATGTTGTGTGTATTGCACACACTTCTTGCTTTTGTGTTGATAATTTAATGAAAATGTCTGTGTGATGACAGAAAGTCAGATGAAAGATGTAGGGTCCAGGACTTAGCATTAAGCTACTGAAATTACCATCACAGTTAATTTGAGAAGACAATGACTTCTAAGTAGTTTGTGAGTGGATAGGATATACAACGTAGATACACTGGTCAAGTGAGATGCAGCAGCACAGAATTGCATCTGCTACTCAGAAGGATATATAACTTAAAACTTTGAATAGTTTATTTCAGGAATTTCTATTGACTGTTTTCATACTGGAATTGACTGAGTAACAAAAACCATGCAAAGCAAAACTGTGGACAAGTGTGAACACTGCTATATCTTATCCTTCCAACACTCTGGGTAAATTTAGGATTAAAGTTTTTGAATTGTTCCTGCCTTTGAGAATAGGTCATAGTTTTCACGGTTTGAATATTATATTGTAGGGATTCTGGATTGTAATGTTGCTTGAGAAATGGTGAACTTTTTTTAAAAGCAGGGTTAGACTCCACTTGTTTAGACTCTTATTGAAAAATTACATCTCATCTGTGGAACAAGCCAGCTTAAATAGAAATTTCAGACTTTTGTCTCTGGATGCTTAATGTACTCTGGCCTGTACATGCTCAGTTTGGGGGTCACGAGAGAGAAGAGACTTATACAAAGGCTGACCTCCCTTTCTCTGAATTTGCCATTTTCATACCCCTAACACACTAGTCTGGTTGCTCTGGGTCTGATACATTTCCAATACCCCTTTACTTTCCCACTTGTTCTGGTTAATCTTAATTGTCAACTTGATACAGCTTAAAGTCATCTGAAAGGAGCAACCTCAATTGAATTCTACAGATCAGGCTCTTCTGTGGATTCTGTTGCAGGTTTTCTTGATTATTACTTGATGTAGAAGGGTCCAGCCCATGGCTGTCAGCATCATTGCTTAGGCATGTGTTCCTGGGCTGTATGCAAAAGCTAGTTAAGCATGAGTGAGAAAGACAGCAATTCCTCCATGGTTTTTTCTTTGAGTTCCTGCCCAGGCTTCTCTCAGTGATGGACTATTGCTCGTAAGCCAAAATAAACTCTTTCCTCCAGTAAGTTGTTTTGGTCAATGTGGTTAGCAAATGAAACTAGAGCATCGCCCATGGCTGGCCTCAAAACAGTACCAAAAGTGGGAGACCCAGCTATTCCTGTCGATGCTCCTCTGTTGTAATGCTTCGCCAAAGAAGCTGTCCCTCCCCTTCTCAACCTCTCAGGCAGTTTATTATTGCCTAAGCTTTGTCTAGGGTGTACACCTAGTATTTAATATTTAAAGGAGGGATAGTTTGTAAGAGCTTAGTTCCCTACATCCAACATGAAACTGTCTGGTACTAATAAGTGGATTGAGTTACCTTGGCTCCCGTAGTACATTGAAAGAGCCGGAAGTACTGGCAAATCCCTGGCCTTGTCATCCTTGTCAGTGCAAAAATATGTACTTTAGCCCATCTTGTTGAATATTGATTAATCATGGATAGATGTGGCTATTAATAGTTGTTTTTAAAATGTATACAATGTATTTGATCTTATCTATCCCCACCTCAAATTCTGCTCAGAAGCCTGCAATATATCCCCCTTCCTAATTCATAACTAAAAAAAAATAACCTCCTGAGGCCTATTAGTACTGCTTATATGTATTGAGTGGGGAGCCGTCTACTAAAGCCTGGGCACCTTTCCAGTGGCTACATCCCCTAAGAGAAATTACTCTGCCTCCGTCAGCAACCATCAACTACCAATAGCACCTAGGAACAAGGCCTTATGAACCCTTCCTCCATCTGTACTGGAGTTTTGACTGTCTTGATCTTGTACAGTTTTTGTGTACTATAAATCAGACAGTGTTAACATCTACAAACCCCTCTTTCCTCCCCCAGTACTCTTTTCATCCTTCCTTTCAGAGGTTCCATGTCCACTGTCTGACCTCCAACCCTGAACAATTTTGCCATTTTTTTAAAAGTTAATTGGTGCTTTTTTCTATTCCCTGTGTTTTATTTATTTTCTTTCTTCTATTTTCCTTTTTTATTTAATTAATTTATTTTACATCGAGAATGCAGTTTCCCCTCTTTCCTTCCCCTCTCCTTCCCCCACCTCCCTCCAGTTCCCCCGTACGTCATTATTCTGGTGTTTTTGACATATATTTTACTTTATTTGTGTATATGTACTTGTATGTGCATGTGGACATGCATGTGTTGGGGGGCATATGTGTGTGTATAGCTGTGGGGATGGAGGTCAGAGGACAACTTGAGGTGCCAGTTTTCTTCTACCATGTGAATTCTGGGAATCAGAATCAAGTTTTCAGGTTGGTGGCAAGTGCCTTTATCTGCTTGGCCATCTCATCGACCTCCTACTTGTCTTTAATAAAAATTATCATTCAGTGCAGTTCATTTCATACAGGTGGTGAAAAATCAACTCAATGAATTTGCACTAAAGCATCATGAGAGTTAGCCAGTATAACTCATCATGAAAACATTCATGAATAAAAACTTTGTTAGGTTGGGTGGCAGTGGCACAAGCCTTTAATCCCAGCACTTGGGAGGCAGAGCCAGGCGGATCTCTGTGAGTCTGAGGCCAGCCTGGTCTA